TCAGTGAAGTAGCTCAGTCGTGTCCGACTCTTTGCGACCTCATGGACTGTAGCCTACCAGTCCCCTCCGTCCATGGGATTTTCCAGGCAAGAATACTGGAGTGGGTTGCCATTTCCTTCTCCAGGAGATCTTCCCATCCCAAGGATTGAACCAGGGTCTCCCGCATTGTAGGCAGACGCTTTACCATCTGAGCCATCAGGGAAGCCACCATATTTACAATATAAACAATTATTTTCTTTGGTTCATAGTAAATACACATTCAGTGAACATGATTTGTTCCAAGTACCATATGTACAGTATATTGTTGCTTATGATTTCTTCCTACAGAAAAGAGCAATCTACCCTAGCTACTAAAGAAACCTCAAAATAAAAGTACTATTAAATTTAAGTTTAAACACCAGGTTCTGTCTCTAAGAGTTTTTCTAAAATAGCAACCATTCTAAAGAAGTAAGAATTGTTACCATCAAACTTAATGAAAAAGCATTGCTTCTGATTTTAGGAAAAATAAATAGTAAAAGAAGAGCACATTAATAAGAACTGTGGAAGAAAAACAGCTTTCAGTTACACTTTCATTTTTAATAATACATACAAATACACTATCAAGTATCATACACACAGCCTGGATTTAGCAGCCTTCTATAATACAACTGTGTGGTGTGGGAGACTTTGTCCTTCACTGTTCCTCAAGCACTCACAGGGATTTCTTGGGTCACAGAAAAGTGATGGGGACAGGAAGAGGTTTGAGGTTTTTGTCTGTGGTTTTTTCTTTGTGGGTTTTTGTGGTTTGGTTCTTTCGTTTTTTGTTTTGGTTTTGTCTTGTCTGTGTTTTAGGTTTGTTTATTTGTGGGGGGTTGTGTTTGTGTATTTTTGGGGAAAAGAGGTTTTTTGTTTTTCTTTTTAGTTTGGCAGTTTTGTTTGCTTTGGGGCTTGCTTTTAAATAGAGTTAATTAGCAAAAGAAGATAAACAACAAGTACCAAATCCCTACCACACGCAAGGCATTGTTCTGAATATCTACCTACGTTCTCTCTTACTTATTAGTAATTCTTTGAGGTGGATATCACTGTCCCATTACATACATGAGAACACTGAGATGTAGTAACAGTTAAGATGTGTCAAAAACTCAACTAGTAAGTAGCAGAGCCAAAACCTGGAGATATGAACCTACATCTGTATCCATACTTGAGCTTTCAAAGACCTTTCTTCCTTACCATTTTCAAGAAAAGATCTGAAACAGAAAACTTGACGAGACTACCACTAAACGATGAGGTTGAGAGATAACATGTGAGGGGTGAGAGAGGTCCAAAGCGGGGATGCATGTGCTCACAGCTAACTCATAGCACTGGACAGCAGAGACCAACACAACACTGTAAAATGAGTATCCTCCAATTAAACATAAATGTTTAAAAGGATATATCCAAAACTCAACTGTGTTTCTACTATACACTAGCAACGAACTAGTGATGAACAATGACGTGAAATGAAATGCTGAGGGCTTCCCTGGCGGCTCAGTGGTAAAGCATCTACCTGCCAAAGTAGGGGACACAGGTTCCATCCCCAGTCGGGAAAGATTCCACATACTGATGAACAACTAAGCCTATGTGCCACAACTACTGAGCCTGTGCTCTGCAACAAAAAAGCCATGCAATGAAGAGCCCACGAATTGCAACTAGAGAAAGCCCATGCAGCAAGGAAGACCCAGCACAGCCGATAATAAATAAAACTATTTAAAAAGAAAAAGAAAAAAGAAATGTTGAAAACAGTTCCATGTACAACAGCAACTAATACAATAACATAAACACTCAGGAATAAATTTTTGGAAGAAGTTTAAGACTTGGGCCTGAAAACTACAAAACATTATTGAAAGAACAGATTAAACACAATCTCTATAAAAACTCCTGCTACTCTTGGGCAGAAATTGACAAGTTGATCCTAAAATCCATATGCAAGGGACCCAGAAAAGTCAAAAAGTCTTTTAAAAGAATGAAGTTACAAGACTTACACTTAGTTTCAAAACCTATTACAAGCTTATTATCAATACAAATCTACTGTAACCAAATAGCATAGTACTGGCATAATAGAATAAAATTGAGAATCCAGAAATAAAATCCAACATATAGTCAGCTGATTTTCAATAAGGGTGCAAAGAACATTCAATGGAACAAGAAGAGTCTTTTCAAACCATAGTGCTAGGACAACTGGATCACCATATGCAAAAGAATGAATTCGGGCCACTGCTTTACCCCATATACAAAAATCAATTCAGAATGGATTGACAACCTAAATACAAGTGCTAAAACATAAAACTCTTAGAAGAAAGCATAGGGGTAAACCTTGAATTTGACAATGAATTCTTAGATATGACAACAAAAGCATGAGCAACAAAAGCAAAAATAGATAATTTGGACTTCATCACAAAACTTTGCAAAAAAGGACATTGTCAAAAAACTGAAAACACAACCTACAGAATGGGAGAAAACATTTGCAAATCATATATGTGACTTAGTAACCAAAAATTTTTAAACTCCAACAACTCAATAATAAAAAGACAAATAGGAATATTTATAACTCCTGCAACTCAATAATAAAAAAGACAAATAACCCAATGAAAAACTGGACACCTGAAATGGACAAAGGATTTGAACAGACATTTCTCCAAAAATATACAAATGGCCAGTAAGCTCACGCACGCGTGCACACACAGACACACACACCCAATATCATGTCATCAAGGAAATGCAAATCAAAATTGTAATGAGATACCACTTAACACCGACTAAGATAGCTAAGTTAAAAAGACAAACCATAATAAGTACTGGCAAGATTGTAAAACTCTCATACACTGCTGGTGGGAACGCAAAACGATGCAACCCCTTAGGAAACAGATTTTCAGCTCTTCAAAACATTAACGCAGAGTTACCATATAACCCAGCAAATGGGGTATGCCCAAGAAAAATCAAAACATCACATCCTCACTAAAACTCGTACAAAAATGTTCATAGCAGTATTATTTATTATAACCAAACGTGTGGGGGGGGATCTCATGTCTATCAATACATCAAAAGATAAAATGTGGTATATCTGTTCAATATTACTCAGCAATAAATGATACACATGCAACATGGATAAACCTCAAAAACACTGTGCTAAAGGAAAGAAACCAGTCACAAAAGACTATGTATTGTAAGATAATTCCAACTCAAAAAAGCTGGGTTTTTTTTTTAGGTTCTTTTAAAAAAAAAAGTCATGGGAACGTTATGTACAGCATGGAGACTATAGTTAATAACACTGTATTGCATAATTGACAGTTGTTAAAAGACCAGATCTTGAAACCTCTTATCACAAGAAAAAAATTGTAACGATATAACTTAATGTGATCACTTTGCAACATATAAATTTCAAATCATGTTATACACCTGTAACTAATCAAGCCATTATATTGTACACCTGTAACTAATATTACATGTCAATTATATCTCAAAAGAAGGAATTCCTTAAGACATTGCATGAACTACAAAAATGAAACAGTGGGAGAAAAAGAGCACCTAATTTTCAATTTTTCTTCTTCAGATGCCATCTCAATTCCTAAAATTTTGTCTTCCTATACATTCATATTTCATCCATCAACAAGAACTACTAAAATTAAATCAACTACTGAAATTCAAAACACATGAAAAAAACAGCCCCAGAAATATCAAATAACTTTCAAACCTATTTCAGCATTGATTCTGAACTAAACATAAATCTCAATTTCACAATATCACATAAAGATTAACAAATACTCAGAGATTTAAGCAAATTGCCAACTTTCTGAATAAACAGTAATTCAGATTTGCTTTGATGAAAATGTAAATATTTACCTGCCTCAAAAGAACAAAATCCTATAAGCCTAGCGTTCCCAAATGATGAAGAGAAAAAAAAATGTATTTTTTTATTCAGAATTCAGTTTCAGAAATTAATTTCAATCTAGCTAGGGTATACATAGTTGATGGCTTATACTAAGCATGTACATACCCTGCTTTTGCCTAAAATATACTGAAAACAAGGAATTTACAGTCATAAAAGTTAAGTTGGGACCTAAGGAAAATCACATACAGTATATCTGACAGAGATCTTAACATCAAAAAGCTCCTGAAAATACCTCAAGAACTCCTATTTTGGAAGCTCCCTAAGTCAGTCTTCCTGCAAATATTTACTGACCATCTACCATGAGCCAAGCACCGCGAGTGATACCAGGATGCCATGGTGAGCTCTGAACCATAGTAACCTAAGAGTTTGTTAAAAATTCAAATGTGCTTCTCTGCCTTGGAGCGCCTGGGCCTGGGTTGAGTCGTGACGCCTGTATTTTTATCAAGCGCTCCAGTTTATTCCCAAACCCTGGCTGCCTGCGGGCAGGGTGCTCGGGGGCATCCCATCCCACCCAGTGGGAGCCACACCTCTATTTCACTCGGTTTCAGTCCATTTCACTCAGCTTCCTGCACTCAGACGGATAAACACCCCAACTACACCACCAGCTGAGATAAATGTAAAGCATTCCAAAATCCCCTCTGTGGTAACACTCTGACAGACTTGCTTCTTTCCGAGGACGGACAGCTCACTCCCTCAGATTCTACCTGGGGCTGTCTGCACCTGAGCATCCCGGAGCTGCACCGACACCTGCCTCCCAGAGGCTGCGGTCTCCTTTTCCCGTGGGCCCGGGCCGCGGGCAGTCGCCGCCTTGAGGGGCCGGAGGCGAGGAGTGGCACCGCGCGCATTAGGCGCCGACTGTATACCGCTCCCCTCCCCGCTGGCGCGCACACACAAACACTCACTCCCGCGGAAACTGAGGTGGGCACGCGACAGACCCGGTCCTGACGCCGAGCGACGCTAGGCAGGGCTCGAACCCGGACGGCCGGGCGGGTTCCTCCTCGCGGGCGCTCGTCAGACTCAGAGGCCCGGCCCGGCTCGCACCGACGGAGTTTCACAAAGAAAGTCTCCCGGCCCGCGCCCCTCACACACTCACCGGAGCCGGCGCCGGCGGCGATTCGGGCTCCCGCCTTCTACGACTCCGTGCTGGGGTCGACCCCGGGGTGGGCTCAGGCGCGGGCGGCGGCGACTGCTCCATCCCCGCGAGGCACGGGCCGCGTCCGCCTCGAGCTAACGGTCCAGCCAGCTAGGCGCGCGCGCCGGCCCCGCGCGCCATGTTCCCGCCGTGCCGCGCGCCGCCGCGGTCTCCGCACCCGTCAGGCCAGGCCCAAGCGCTCGCTGTTCTGGGCTGGGCGCAGTCGCCTGCCGCACTGCGGACGACGCCAGACCAGGCCCCTCGTAGCATTACCCCTTTTAAAAACTTCACCTGCTTGGACTTGAAGCGGTGGTCTACCCCAAGAGGGAATTACCCCCAAGAAGTGTGAGGGGAAGGACACCGCTAAGGTGATGAGATCCCCATTGCGGTGGTCTGTGAGCACGTGCATGAGCCTAAGCGGCAGAATTGGATGTCTGTGTCACTGGAAAAGCCACACTCAATGAAGAAACTGAATTCGCGTCCCGCATCTCCACTATCTTTGCCTGATTAAGGTCAGGTCTCCAGAAGCCTGTTTTTCCTTTATGGGGAAAGTCTAACAACTAAGACAAGTCAGAGGACTTGAAGTAATCCAGATAAAATATCAATACCGCACCTAGTACTTTTACCAAGTAGTAAACTGGTGACAAAAACCTCTTAAGTAATTTTATGATCAAAAACCAAGGTCTCTTGAAAAGGGAAATTTCCGTTCAAGCCTTGCCTCCACTTCTTGCCAACTGGGAAATCTCTAAACCCATAAAGAGAGGAGGGGCAGCAAGGCCTCACAGGGTTGAGGTGAGCTTTCTGAGGAGACACACATGTCTCTGAGCACAATGCCTGGCACACAGCAAGCTCTCCAAGCTTCAATGGTATAATTCTAGCCCTGTCCTCCTAAGACTCCTAAAAGTTTAATGAAGGGGGCTCTGCTCCCAAACCCTGTGGTATAATTAGCTGGGAGGGGGTTCTCTCAACCTTGAGGCTGGAGAGACTCTTAGTTCCCACATCTTCACTTTCCATTCTTTGCCCCAAACCTCTCTGAAAACCCTGAAGCTGGCACAAAAACAACAGCAGTTGTTTAGTTTTCCCTACTTAAAAAGAAGTGTGTCCAAGGATCTCTTAGAGTTTGCAAATGGTTGGATTTATTAGTCTGGCCTTTTCTAGACACAAGTGACCAAACAATGAAAAAAATTAAAATAATTTGTTTCTTAATAAAAAAAAACCCTCAATCTGGAGTAAATCAACTAAGGGAACAAATCAAAGTCCCAGGTGGTACCTCACTGAAGGGATAGTTGGATCCAGGTGCTCAAACAATAAGCTCAGTCATTCTACATCTCAGCTCTGCTTGTCTGTGATGACTTCATTCTCATGCAGTTCTCCCCAGTGTCCTGGGCACCTCCCAGCTCACACCTCTACTATGGTAGGGTGAATAATGGCCTCTAAAGGTGTTCTCATCCTAACTTCCCACAATTTGTGAATATGTGACTTTACATATTCACAGCAGGAACTGTTCCAGCCAAAGGCTTGGGTTTTCTTTCTTTAGGGCCCCACGGGTCACGTGCATCTGCCTGAGCCTATCACAGCAAGACTGGCCAAAACAGACCACATGGAGCCCCTCTGGGAAGGGAGTGAGGTCAGCCCTGCCAGGACATGGGTGGGTGGGGCAAGTGGAAAAAGGGACTCCCCGTACGCCTTCTAACTGCTCCTACTAATGTTGCCGTCCTAGCTCCATTTGCTAATGTTTCAGTCCTGTGCCCACCTCCAGCTGGGTGGTCAGTGGGAGAAGCTCTACCAGGGGAGAGGCCCCCAGGGACCCCTTTGGCTTCTTAGGTACCATCTCCCCCTCCCGCTATGAACTCGTGGGATAGGGGAAAAGAATTCCCCCTAATGAAAAGTGGCATATGAGGTGAAGAAGTGGAAGTGGATGCCTGGCGTCCCCAGATTAGCTGTCGATGTCTCAATAGTGAGTATATGTTTCCTCTGACTGCTATAACAAATTACCACAATCTGGGTGGCTTAAAACAACACACATTTATTCTGTCAAGTCTGGAGGTCAGAAGTCTAAAATCAGTTTCATGTGACTAAAGTCAAGGTGTAAAGTAAAAGGAGTAGCTCCTTCAGGGGGCTCTGAGAGGAGAATCCATTTCTTTGCTTTTGGTCAGCTGCTAGTGACTGCCATGTAGTGTAGTCCATGGCTTGTGGCCTCTTCCTCTGTTTCCAAAGAATACGACTCCCTCTCTTCCGACTCTCCCTGTGTCCCTCTTAAAAGGAACACTGTGATGACACAGGCCCACTTTGATAAAACAGGATATATCTTCCCATCTCAAGATCCTTCATTTAATCACACCTGCAAAGTCTCTTCTGCCATGAAAAAGGAACATATTCATAAATTCTGGAGATTAGGATAAGAATATCTCTGGAGGCCATTATTCATGGTAGGTGTAATCAGAGAGTGCACTGAAAACAGAGACAGGCTGGTTGACTACCCCAAGAGGGAAAGATGCCCTAAGAAACCACAGCCTTCACATTAAGTATTCAAATGAGCTGAAACCCATCTAACTTGGCAATCTCCGCCTCATTCCTTTAAATATGCAAACCACCTAAATCCCCATCTAGCCCTCAGCAACAGGCCAGCCAAGCCTCAGAATGCCTACACACCCTTTTAATTTCCATTGCCAACCACCATCCTCACTGCCTGGGGCAACAGCTGTGTGCCTCTCGCCCTCCCCTGGCTGGCTCAGCAGCAGCATCCGAACCAAGGCACTCAACTCATGGCATGGTCATCAAACTACAATGTGGCCTAGCATCAATCAGCCAAAGTGACTACAGAAGCAAATTCAGTGGGTCAGAAAGAGACAAGAGGAGCCAGCCATTAGAACTGCCCGGGTTCCTGATGGCCTCCCAGACCCAGCCCTCTGTAAGGCCAAAACAAATCTCCTTTTCCATGAAGTAATTTGAATGGGCCTCTGTTCCTTGTCCCCAAGATGTCCCAAGTTCCACAGATTATGGGGTTGTATCCATCCATCATGATTGAATATACCAGTATTCAAGACTTAGACATCAATTTCACATGAGTTTTGTCTGTGAGTCTACATCCCTGAGTCTGGATCGACTAGGGAACATGAATTGGAGTCAGGAAGCCCTGGGCTGGGTCCCAGCTCTGCCACTTCCTAGCTGTGTGACATTGAGTAAGTCACCTCACTTCTTCGGTCTGGGTTCCCCACTTATAACATGACGGTAATCAGAGGACCCAGCACACTGAATCACTAGACAAGACCAACCAAGGCAGGCACTTTACACAGGGTCTTCTTGGTCATCATTGGGTCAATATGACAACCCCACATGCCTTATACACATTTCAAACACAGTCAGTGTTTCTGGTCTTTTTCCTATAATCAGGAAGTTTTTGATTTCCACAACTTATCTGGGTCTGTGGTTTTAGGGACCATGAGAGTGAGAATGGGACTCTAAAACCATGGGCTAATTCCCTGTTGGTCCAGAGGTTAGGACGCCATGATTCAAGTGCTGGGGGGCACAGGTTTGATCCCTATTTGGGGAACTAAGATCCCAAAAGCTGTGCAGCCAAAAAAATAAAAATTGAATTTAAAAAATTAAAATAAAAAACACAAAAGTGGGCCATGGTATGTGCACCAAAGTACCAACTGTCTGGTAAAGACTCTGGCAACCAGTCAGTTTCAACAAACCCCACCCTGACTTGCTGTGCCCCACCCCCTGCAACTTTCTAAGGGGTCTTTAGAATTTGTATGCAGCTCACCCAGGGATGTATCCTAAGAAACATGTCTAGTTACAGCCTAAGTAGAAGCACCAGAAGCACACGTATCAAATACATACACACTAAAGTCATGTAGCTAAGAGCTGATCAACACGCAGAAAGCACAAAGCTCGGGTTCCATCACATTTTGAATTGTGTATCAGTGGTTGTGGAAAAGCAGCTGTTCCCATAATGAAAATACAAACTATACAAAACACGTTTAAAGAAAATGGCAGCAGAAGGGTTCAAGAAGGTACACTTCTTTCGTGGTCCACCAGTGTTCACGAGACAGCCGCGCACACAGCCAGGCGCTTCGTGGGGTCGGCATTCTCTGCTTCCCCTTCGCGAAGCCGCTTTCGACTTGTGGAAGGCTGCAAGTAAAGGAAAGGGGAGAGATGTTCAAAGAAAACCTCTGGCTTCGTCACAATTATCAGTTTCCCAATATGCTTCCAGTAATCTTGGAGCACTTCATGTGAACCTTCTAGGACCAAGAATGTTGGTTGTACTCATTGGCTCTGAACCCCTACCACACCCCTCCCCGTCTCACACACATTTATTGGACTGACATTTCTCTCCCCTGGGGCCTCCAACCACTCAATGATGCCTATTGAAAGTAAGCTGCAGGGACTTCCCCTGGTGGTCCGGTGGTGAAGCATCCGTGCTTCCACTGCAGAGGGCACAGGTTCAATCCCTGGTTGGAGAACTAAGATCCTACACGCCAAGTGGTGCAGTGAAAAAAAGAAAACAAGGAAGGAAACGAGCAGCATAACCAGCCTCCTCTTGGTTGTCTTCTCCTGACCCTTTTGTGTGTTTTCCCATTTACAGAATTGTGAGGGACCAATGGGAAAATGAATGTTACCGAAAGAAGGCAGGACAGAAATGAGCAGATATTAACATATACACAAAGCATATACACAATATCACAAATATCATCTTTGTGATATTAACATATACACAAAGAACTTCAGAGGAATAAGATTATAATCAGTACGTCATCAATCACTCCCCCAAATTTTTAAATTTTCAACAAATTTAAATCTGAGCCTCTCACACAGTCTTCTAATGTGGCTCAGTGGTAAAGAATCCACCAGCAATGCAGGAAACGCTGGTTGGATCCCTGGGTCGGGACGACCAACTGGAGGAGGAAATGGCAACCCACTCCAGTATTCTTACTGAAAAAATCCCACGGGCAGAGGAGTCTGGTGGGCTACAGTCCATAGGGTCACAAAGAATCGGACAAGACTTAGCAACTGAGCACGCACACAATCTTGCCTTACAGTAGACTTATTGAATAATG